TTCAGCTGGCTTCCCTGGACTTACTAGTATTGCAGTGAGCTTGAAGCCAAAAAGAACCACCTTGAAGAAGTATAGAAACAATTTTATAAATTGCACTTTAATGTAAAAAAATTCAATTCATAATTTCCTGTTAGCTAACTTATTTTGGTTACATGCCCTGGACGTGTGGTTATCTTTAAAATTTGGAATTTTGAGCTGGGGAGATAGCTCAGTAGAATAAACACCTGCCTAGCAAGCACAGAGTCCTGAGTTCAATCCCAGGTACTGAATAAATAAATAAAAAAAATTAGAAAATTTATTAAGGCCACCACTCCCCAAGAATGAGATTTTCTCCCTAAAAGACCAATCATTGTTAAATTTGGGATTCTTTCTTTCTCTCATTGCAGTGTTAACAGGAACAAATACATAAATCATTTTCTTTCCTTTTCCTTTTTGTAGGTACTAGAAAGTAATAATCAAATGTGAAACTTTGGCATTGATTACCCACATCTCAAGGGCTTGCCTTGAACCTTTTCTTTTGTGCTAAATAGTCTGCTATGTTAGGTGGAAGTTTTCTGCCCTGATGTTTTATAGTTCATTTTGGGATTCTTTTCTCAATCATGTCTTACAACTAGACATGCACAACCAAAGGTAAGATTTGTAATTTAATTAGTTGACTTCATATTGATTTTCTAGGATTAGCTTAATTAGTGAAGCGAGTCCATCTCTAAAATGTTTACATTCCAGGCAGATCTTTTCTAGAAGACTCCATCTGGCTGATTTAATACAAACACTATGTATTAGCTATATAATAGATGGACTGCATCATGCACACCTACACGTGCACACCTACATGTGCACACCTACACATGCACATATATGCACCTCCACACTAAATTAATAAGGAATTTGATATAAAAGTTAAACAATTTAATGTAAGTATAAGAATTGTTCCTTTGTGAACACCTAAGGAATTCAAAACAAAACAAAACTCAGCAGCAAAACAAGAAACAAATCATCTCATTCAAATGGGCAAATACTTTGAATAAATACTTCTTTAAAAAAGCTATACAAATGGGCAGCAAGTATATGAAAAAGGTGCTCAGTATTTCTAGCCATTAGGGAAATGTAAATCAAAACCGCAGCAACACATCTCATCTCAGTTAGTGTGGCTATAATAAGAAAGATAAAATTTAAAAAGTTTTTGAGGAACTGCCATCCAGTTTTCTGCACTGACTATCCTAATTTATAGTCTTACCAACAGAGTTTCTCTGCATCCTTGCCAGCATATATGTATATTTTTTGTCTTTTTGACTAGAAAAGGGGTGAGGTGATATGTCATTCTTGATTTCTTTGCATTGCTCTGATGATGAATGATACTGAGTAGACTGACACATATTAGCTATTTGTGTGTCTTTTGAGAAACATCTTTTTTGCCAATTAATAGTCTTGCTCTTAAGTTGTTAGAGCACCTTATATATTTTGGATATCAATCTATGACAGATACAAAGTCCACAAATGTTTTCTCTAATTTGGTATAGTGCCTTTTTCTTTATTTTTTATTTTTTCCTTTGTTGTGTAGAAGCTTTACAATGTTATGTGAACCTATTGTAGTAAAGATTTGCAAGGACATGGATTTACTGCAGGATGACTACATTTATAGCAGCATCTTAGAATATTGACAGAAAACATCAAATCCGAAGAATGCATGAGATCTGACCATAACAGAGACCCGTAGGGCCCAGCCGAGGGCCTGGAGACCACAGCAATGTCTCATGCAAGTCCCTGTCAAGAATCTGCACAGGGAAAGTCCAATAGCCTGTGGTGGAAGATAGAAAAGCAGCACCAGCAGGGTGAAGGATCTGCGCCAGAAAGCTGAGGGTCTGCACCAGAGGAGGAAGCCATGCTAAACGCAAAATCCAGAGCTTCTCTGAAGAGGACAGCAGCCAGCCCTGTGGCAGCAAGGACTCAAGCGCCTCCTCTGAGGTGAACAACTGAGTTCACACTAGCAAGAACAGCCATAACAAAGCTTCTCCTAGGAAATCAACAGCACACGGTCTTCCCGTCTTGTTCTCCTTTCATAACTCTCCAGCAACAATCTTTGGGTGCTTTTACACCCAGCACCACCCTGACTCACTTGGGCTGGGCGTTCCCACTTAAATTAACCATTCATTAACCCACCACAAAGTCCTTTTGTCCGTATTTGTTTTTGGGGTTACAATCATATCCAATACCATCACTGAGACTAAAGCCAGAGGGCTTTCTCTTCATGTTTTCTTCTGGGAGTTTTCTCATTTTAGATATCACGTGTAAGTCTTTATTTAAGTTGATTTGTGTGTGTGGTCTATGATAAAGATCCATTTTGTTCTTTTGCATGAGGGCACATAGTTTTCCCAGCACCCTTTATTGAAGAAACTGTCTTTCCCCCTTGTGTATTCTTGGCACCCTTGTGAAAGACCCACTGAATATGTATATGTTGATTCATTTCTGGGCTTTCTGTTTTGTTTTGTTGGTCCACGTCTGTTTTGTGCAGTATTATACTATTTTAATTATTGTAGTTTTGTAATATACTTTGAAATGATTTTAACTTGTTTTTTTTTCTTTTGCTCAAAATTGCATTAGCCATTTGGGGCGTTATTAGTTTCCTATGAATTTTTGGTTTGCTTTTCTTATTTCTAAAAAAAAGGCAATTAGAGTTTTGATATGGTTTTAGTTGAATGTATAATGTTTTTGGATAACTTGAACATTCTAACAATATTAATTCTTTCAATTCATGAACCCATTATCTTTTGACTTATTTGCATCTGCTTCAATAACTTTCATTTATGTTTTATTGTTTTTTATGTACAAGTCTTGGATCTCTTAATGTATTATGTTTTGATCCTATTGTAATGAGATTATTTTCTCAATTTCCTTTTTGGATATTTCACTATTAATATATAAAGTTTGCTATTGGTTTATCATTAGCATTTTATCATTAGATGAATTTTTGAGAAATGCATATACCTATGTAACTCAAGCACCTATCGAGATGAAGAATATTGCCATCACTCAAGAAAGTTCTCTTGTTTTTTCCTATCCAGTCCTTGTCCTCCCATGCCCCAAGGCAATGAGTGTTATTTTTTTCCTTCCATGGATCAGTTTTGTCCATTTTGAAATTTCAGATAAATTAAATAAGTATAGGTTTTTGTGGAAAATAGATATTACTCAGTGTAATGTTTTTGAGAATTATTCATTCTGGGTGAGCATCAACAGTTTATTTCTTTATAGTACTGAGTAATACCCACTGTATGTATATACAGCAGTGTGTTTATTTATCTATGGGTGGTGACATAGGCTGTCTGTCAAGATTTTGTTTATTATGAGTAGAGCTTCTGTGCATATTTTCGTACAAGTTTGCCCCTCCCCCCGGGTGCAGTTTTAATTCTTCCTGGGTAAATATCTGTGCTTGGAATTTTGAGTTATAAAATAAGTGTATGTTTAGTTGTGAAAAGAACTGGCAATGTCTTCCTGAAATGATTACGCCATTCTATCTTCTTGCTAACAGTGTATGAGATATGTCAATAACTACAACTTCTAGCTGTCTTGTCCATATTATCCCAACATTTGATATTGTCAGTATTCTTAAATTTTAGCCATATATTTAACATGGTGGGTATCTTAACTTTTTGTAAAAATTACTTATATAAAGTTAAATCAGGCATAAATTAATTCACATTATAAAGAGAATTATTTAATAATAATTTTTAATTGTAAAAATTACAGGCTTTGTTATAAACTTCCCTGGAGTGGGTTCTCTTTTTGTATGTATGTATGTTTTCAAAATCTGGGCCTCTTCTGATTTGAAGTTTTATAACACCAGTTCTGGCTAAAAGTTTCAAAAAATGTTATTTAGTTCCTACACATGTCCAACTCAGTCTTGGTAGTGTGTAATTTGGTAAGATATTTTCACTGTCTTTGCTCTCTCCAATAATTGTTCTCCATCCTAAGGTCACACTGTGTTGCCCTTCAAAGCAATTCTGGGACTTACTGTTTTCCAGCAGGGTCATTGCTTTATTAAATGCTCAATGTCATTTCATTAGAGCAGAAAGTTAGGGTGTCTACAGGTCCTTATATCTACTAAAAGGAAATTTTACTAGTTAAAAAAAAACAGAAACCAAGTTGTCATTATTAAGTTGTGACTCTAATGCCCTATTTTTTCAAATGGTCTCTTTTCTTCCTCGGGCCTGCACACCTAATTGTCAAGTTTAATTTATGATCCTTGTTATTCTCAGTGTTTAATTGAGTTAGTGGTAGAGCTGACTCATAAGCCCATAAAACCCTTCAGTGATAAGCTAATTAGCTACTGCACTTGCCCTCTAAATAATTAACACTTTTCATTACTACCAATCAACATTGCAGTCATTAAAAGTTACCCTACTAGTGAGTTGTCCAGAGTGGAGACTTGCAAATAATGTTTTTGATCATGATCCAAAGAAATACATTTCATAGGCTAACCAAGGACAACACACACACACACACACACACACACACACACACACACACATTTCTATTGTCAATTGGGGAGACTTTGATATTTTCTATTCCATACATCTACATTCTTTTTTGCTTCAAAACATAGGGGCTCCTTGAAGAAGTTTTGCTGCCCATGAATGGGTTGCAATAGTTAAAAAAAATGCAGATTAAAAAAAAATGCTGATTTAACATTCATACACTGGGGACCAGGGTTCAATCCCTGGCACCGCATGCTGTGCCGGCCCTACCTCTGGGTGAGCTGAGCTGAGCACTGAGACCAGGTGTGGGGGTGCACACCTGTAATCCCAGCACTGGGGATACTAAAAACAGGAGGATCAAACAGGAGGATCACTATGAGTCTAACCTGCATAGCAAGATCTTGTTAAAAAAACCCAACCCAAACAAAAGCAAACCAAAAAACACCCAACCAACTAGCCAAAAAAAGCATTTGTATACTGAAATAAAATTAAAAGAATCAATGAATTTCTTTCCAAGTTGTAACTCACTTGTTTCCTTCACCATTATACACCCATTTTGTTGTGCCGATTCCTTCATAGTTTGAAGCCCAGTAATAAATACAAGCATTAATGTGCAGAATAAAGAGCAGATATCCAGTTGTTCGAATGACTCTGTCAGAAAGAATAAATGAAAGTCAGGATTCACATGTTCTTCCTGCAACAGAGCCTATTTTGTTTGTTTGCTTATTTATTTAGTTATTTTGGAACAGGGAATTGAACTCAGAACCCTGTGCTTGCCAGGCAGGTAGCACCGGGCCGCTGAACTATACCCACAGCCCCAAACAGCCTATTTGAACGTTTTCTTTTTCTTTAAGTCTCCACTAAGCCTCCTTGCTTTAGAGTTGCCAACTGCTGACTCTCATTAGCACAGCGGAAAGTGACGGTGCCACCGCCTGCTGTCTAGCTGCCGTGCCTTGACTGTGACTGACAGAGTGTAAAAAAATTCTGTCTCTCTTCTCACAGATGGTGTGCGTCGACTCTGTGAAAGAGCCCTCCAGGGTCCCCTCTCCAGTTTTAGCGCTGTGAAATATGCCGGGCCGATTTAGCTGGGTATCCCTGAAAAGCCCGTGGGACGCTCCGCTGCAATGAGCTGTGACCGGGGCTCTGAGCTCAAGGGAGCCCCGGAGCACGGAGAGAGTGAAACGCAGACCCGGAATGAGCGGAGAGAGCGCCGGGCCCACTCGCAGAAGGGCGCGTGCGTGCGGCTGGACGTGTTTGGGCTGAAGTGGCTAAGTCCTAATTTTAAGATCAGAGTTTTGAAATCTGATATGATTTTCACACTGTTATCTCACTTGGAATAACTAGACCTGTTTTGGAACAGGCTCTTGTATTTTATATACTCAAAATCTGAAGGGATCTGTTCTTCTGCAGTGGGGGGTTGGTCCTTCTCCCAAATGTTGTCTCAGACGCTTCGCTTTGCTTTCTCGGATTCCCACACGCGTGTCTGTGTCCACGTTACCTGTAGACATATGCTTTGTCCATTCTAGCCTCAAGGTGATGACTGAACTCAAAAAATGAGGTGTACTAGGCAAAAAACAAGCAAAAAGAAGGCAAAAGTATGTTAGTCTTAGACACGTCTGTTTAGACAGAGCTATATAAAATACATTGTCTCTGTTACTAGAAATAATTTTAGTAATCCATCTTAAAAATTCCAGGTCCTGCTTAATGGCGTTTTCCACTAGAGAGACCATTTTAGCGCAGTGCCAAACTTCTCGAGTTTCTTGCGTTATTTGATTTCTACCCTCTGGTGACAGTCTTATTTGTAATGCTCTTTGAAAAATCAATCATGTTTTCTTTTAAAGCGTACAGTGGAACTTATTTCGCAATAATTAAAATCACACTCTCCCAAAATAAATGAGGAGAAAAATGTAACATAATAAATTGAAGTCATAAATAGGCACATCCTATTGTTCAATACTGGCATTATTATTATTATTATTATTATTATTATTATTATTATTGTTATATATTTAATACAGGGTCTACAGGGTCTCCCTACATAGATTGAACTAGTAGTGATCCTCCTGCTTTCAGCCTCCCATGGCGCCAGTCACGCCCAGTCCCAGTCGCTTGCCCAGGGGAAGGACTGGCACAGCTTGTGGTGGAGGGGATAAAATCCCGGTCCCTATGTCCGCCTAAGCAGGCGCTTTAATCCGCTGAGCTATTTGGCTAGCCCTTGGCATTATTTTTAAAGATGACATATTAAATGTATGTTCAAACAAAATTTCAAATTTAGCATTAGAATCAACTAGTTATTCTTGATGTTATCCAAAAGCACAATGACTGTATGTGACCCATTTTAGAGCTGTTATCTTCCTCTGTGTTTTTTCCAGCTTATTTTTATTTCAGCTCTTCTTTCCTGAACACTGTCCTACCTCCGACCTTCTCTTCCCCCTTTCACTGTTGCAGGGAACACAACACAGGAGGGAGAGCAATCTCTCAGCCCAATTCCAGTTTCTTCTTTGTCACTTACTAACTTGTGATCTTGGAAACGTCTGCTACTGTTTCTGTGCCTTGGTTTCCTCAATTTTTAAGTAGACATACTTAAAAGAACCTGCTTCCTAGAGGATATTATACATATATTTAGAATCTTATGGACAGAAGAAAGCTTACAAATTACTTAACTCAAAACTACTCCAATGTGGACATGACCACGGTAGAGCATTTGTAATTTAAAAATATTATCAGTAATAGCAACGAATTGTTCACTACAAATAGGTACAAATTATTTGTGTTCAACAATTTTTGAATCGAAAAAATATCCCTCAAACATTGTCATTATGATAATTTCATTTTTTTTTGGTAACCTGCTTGCTATGCTTTTAACAGAAGGTTAGCAATAGCAGTTTTAGTTAAAATTTAACTTCTTCATGATAGAGAAAATTTATATTTTAAATTTGTTTTTCCATTTATAACTTGGAGACAGTGGTGATAAACATTTGTCCTGGAGAATTGTCCATTCAAGTGGCACCCTTATAAATAATTGAACTGATGGGACTACAAGGCTAGGAAAAGATCAATGTTGATTTTCACTACCTGTATTTTAAAACAACTGCTGGACATAGAAGGTTTTTGAACACCTTAGGGATATAGAGATGAGACATACAGAGCTGGTGTTTTGTAATTATAATGCCAGACAAATTCTCAAATCCACAGGAATCTCAGTCTTTCTGAAAATGTTCCCCTTTTAGCAAGGGCCTTCTGAAATTTCTTTATTTTTTTTTAAAAGAGAATACAAAATGGCAAAAAATATAAAGCATTAGAAATGATACAGAATTTCAATAAAAAATAATAGGAATTTGACAATGGCTGTTTCATTACATAACATTATCTTCAAATTAGTTGTTTAGAGTAACTGGTAAAAAAAAGTTATAAGAAATTAAAAAGGGAAATAAAGAAGAAAATATTAAGCATTTGAAACTAGAAATTTGATGAGGTCTGGCCTGGTCCTAGGTTGCTTGGAAGGCTGCCTTTTGCCTCAGTTTATACTATCCTCCTGCAGTCAAATCTAAAGCCTCTGGAATGGGGTTGGGTTATGAAAATGGGAGGTTAGGACCCATGCAAGTTGAAAAATCAGCAGGAAAGGGAGACACTTTCTGCCCTACCAGCCTGACTACAGTAGGGAATGTGGAGTCAGACAAGCACGTGCAGAACTCAGCAACACCTTGCGTCAGCGCGTGTTTGGGCAGGTTGTGTTCACCATGCGATGCTTATTTTCCTCATCTGCAAAATGAAGCTGTTGGGGAACTATGTGAGATAACGGACATGGAGTTTTAGCATGTGTAGCCCCAAGTGTGTAGTCAAGAAATTTCAGGTGTCACTGCTGCTTCTGTCAACATCCACCTGTGCCACCAGGTTGCACTAGTACATCTTCCCAAGAGGCACAGAAGATAGCAAATGCAAATTTATAAAGTCTTTTATGATCCATTTAGAAAGTTGTCTTTCGAAATACAAGTTATCATTATATTCATTTAGAAAGTTGTCTTTGGAAATACAAGTTATCATTATATTCTTAAGGATTTATACAAAATTCTTTTACCCTTGCACTTGCCAAGGAAGTGGTTATTCCACTGAGCCATCTCCCTGGTCCCCTTATATAAAATTCTTGGACTTGCCTTAAATTCTTTTTAAGAACCCAACAAAGCCATAAGTTCTAAAATGTTTATGTCTAGAATATTTTCTGAGTGTGTCATGCATTACATATCAAAATCAATTGAAATACCTTCAATACCTTAGACCAATTGAAAGACTTCAATACCTTAGAAGTCTTGCTCCAGGAGACTGGGGATACAGCTGAGTGGCTTAAGCACCTGCCTGGCAAGTGCAAGGTTCCGAGTTAAATGCTCGGTACTGCAAAAACAACCAAAAGTCTTGCTCCAATCCTTTCTGATTTTCTTCCCACCTTAGACAATCATTTTTTATTAGTTTTCTTTTGTAAACTTAGAATAATTGAAGATTTTCACTTTATATAGCACAGAAGCTAAGATTGCTCTGTAAACTCTTCTGTATCATGTTTTTATTTTTATTTTTACTTAGCACTTTGTCTTGGAGGTCTTTTATTATTATTTTATTTTATTTTAATTTTAGGGAAGGATCTGGGTCTCACTACTAGATCGGACTCATAGTAATCTGCCTGTTTACAGCCTCCCAAGAACTGGGATTACAGGCATGTGCCACCACACCCAGTCGCAATTGCCAGCCCAGCTTGCCCCAGGGGCAGGGTAGGGTGGGGCTGGCACAGCTGTCCCAGGGATTGAACCCTCAGTCCCTGAGCCTGCTTGCAGGTGCTTTAATCCACTGAGCTATTTGGCCATCCCTGTATATTAATATGGGGAAAATTTCATTTTTTAAAAGCTATAAAGCATTCTACTATGTAGAATGTACATGTAGCTATTTTCCTCCTAATACACAACTTAGTTATGCTGAAGTATGTATATAACTTTGTGCTGCAAAATATGCTAGCTGTTTTCCTAGAATTACAGAATTTTAGATAAGTAAGAAAGCTTAGAGATAATGTACTTTAACTCCATTTTGTAGCCTATATTTCAGGCATTGAATAATTGTCTGATAAAAAAGGACAAATAGAAAATTATAAAAGTTTCATTTGTAATTACAGTTGAATTTAACAATACAAAAGCATTTCTATTTAGGTTATAGGAATACATATTATGAGACAGAATAAAAGCAAACAGGAGTATTTTCCATCAGGAGAAGCAATGATATTTTTTTCTTTCATTTATTTAAAAAATTTGATAGCACTGATGATGGCAAAAAATGTATAAAAGTTTGGAAGAGATTAGGAATATTGGTAATTCTATGATATTTTAAACTGTTTCACGATTTCCATTATTATAAGGCAATTATATATAGTTACCTTACCTTCAATATCCTATTTGTTCGAAATATCGTATTATACCCAAAGAAGAGGTATAAAACATCAAATGGTATTATTGATGCCACATCCAACTGTTGGAAGAACACATTAACAATTATGTCATGGTTACATCCTTTGGGGGTCATTGATGGATTGATAAGAAATGAATGTAACAGTTGGTCAGTTACAATGGATTATCTGTTGGTAAACATGCCTCGTGCCATCGAAGGTGTGTTAGCACCAGAGATACAAGAACAATACTTCAAGGCCCACTTTTGATGTATCTCATTTCCGCCTTCATACATCTGATCTTTCCTCAGGCATGAGGGTTGCTAAGGATTTTGTGCAGCTGTCACAGACACTCGGGCGATGATGTGGTTGCTGATGTTAAAGTAAGTTTCAGGTCTTTTAAACATGAGACTCTGGAAGTAAGTCAAGTCCGTTTTTGCTTGTGTTTGAAATCGATGCACGTTCATTGAAGTGATACATTTTTAATTCCAGCCAATTCTCCAGAGTTAGAGTGGAGTCCATTGGTGTGGTTCATCTACATTATTAAGAATTTTCTGCGGCTGTCTAACGTGGACCATTTTGCTATCAATTAACTGTTGTGTAAGTATCAGAGAAAGCACAGTAAAAGAGAGGAAGAAAGAGAAACTCCTTTTGTTAATCAGCCACTCTGATGGGAAAAGGCATTGGAAGTACTGTGTAACTACAACTAAACACACAGATTTTTAAAATTTGCCATGTATTTGCATCATTCAGGCTTTCTCACATCCTAATAATTCTCAAATAGTGACATCATACTTACATATTTTCCTGATCAAAATAACAGGAAGAAATGCTTTTATATAACACAACTATATATTTTCACTAATTTTTATGTGGTCCTGAACAATAGGGTACCTTAAAAAGATTTAAGCTATTTTAAGACAATTAAGAGCAGTTAGGAACATATTTTAAGGCCATACATATGAGAGTTGAGTACTTGTGTAACTTTTTCAAAACCAACTCCTATTAAATAGAAATGAAACTTGTAGTTTCAATTAACCAATTGAAGCTATTTCAAAATGCTAACAGTACTGGTTTAGAAATTACATTATATCATGGGACCTCATTATTGTACCCTACAGACATCTCTCGTTAGTTTTTCAATTTTTATCTTTTATTAGTGCATGCTTGCAGCACATAATGGGAAGTTGGCAGGTGCAAACACCACACCTCAATTGTTTCCTTCTTCTTCTCCTTTCCCCAACTCTTTATTGCCTTCCCTTTTGCAAAAAAGATCTATCTTATTTCTTATCTATCCTATTTCTTATTATTTATCTTATATTTGCTCCTTATTTGTATTTTGGGTTTCTCATATATCAGAATCCATAAGATATTTGTAGCAAGTTGGAACTTGTACATGAACATTCATTAAAAAAAAGTGTCCTACAGGGGCCCGGGAGATGGCTCAGTGGTATAAGTGCTTCCCTGGCAAGCTCAAGTACCTGAGTTCAATCCCCAGTCCACCAAAAAAAAAAAAAAAAAAAAATGTCCTACAGATGAGGAAGCAGAAGCATGGGATGAAGCCCGACTAGTGCTACCCCAGAACCCACAGGCTCTGGTTCAAATCATAATAATCTTTTTTACTCATTTTTTTTTATCAAGTTGTTCAACTTCCCCTTTGACTTCTCTGTGTGGATAATTAGTAGCCATTTTTAATGTTAACACATTGACATGTTTATATGTAGACAGAGAATGGTTTATTTTTCATTAAATTGTAGAAAATTGAATTGATTGGTAATTAACATCAAACTCCATGAGGCACTTTGTAAAGCATATTGGGGTTGAAAGAGGAGTAAGATACTATTTTTGTTCACAAGAAATTAACCTCATAGCAGAAAGGCAAAAAAAAAAAAGAAAAAAGAAAGAAAGAAAAAGAAAAAGTAAGTGACCAGTGCTGGCCAGATAGCCCAGTGGATTTAAGTGCCTGCTTAGGCTGACTCAGGGGTCAGAGGTTCGATCCCTGGCCTGCTATGCTGACACTGCCCCCGGGGCATGCTGAGAAGGCAACTAAAACTGGACGTGATGGTGCGTGTCTATAATCCCAGTGCTTGGGAGGCTGAAACAGGAGAATCACTATGAGTCTGATCTACATAGTGAGACCCTGTAGACCCCGTAGACCCTGCACTAAATTTAAAAAAGAGGGACCAGAAGTAAGTAAAGGTACAATTTTACAAAAATAAATACAAATTAAATATATAAATAATTAATTTTAACCTTACTCAAGTGCAAATAAGTACTGAATCAAGAGTTTGGAAAATGCTTTGTGGCTCTTACAAAGGATGCTTATTCTCTGGACGGTCATAAAGTGATGTAGATCTTTTATGAATGTGTCTAATATGTGATGATGCTTTGCAAAGAAAATTAGTGGGCTATAAAGACAAATTAAATACAATTTTAATCACTAAACATTGCTGATATGGAAATTTGGAACCTTAAACTCAGATTTGTGTTTTTCTAAATAAAATTTAGGTTAAGTTGTCCTTAAGGTGGGAGGCTAGAGTTTACACACACAGATTGAATACTTTTGAATAACCCTGAATCTCTACCTATTTCTCAGAGTTAAGAAGAAAAATTTAAGGTAAGAAAATACTTTGTGGGCCGTCAAGATAGCTCAGCAGACTAAGTGTCTGCTTAGGCAAGAACAGGGACCGGAGCTCAATCCCCTGCACCACATGTGCTATCGCTGAGTGTGCTGAGCTTGCCATTGAGACTGGGCGTGGTGGTACATGCCTGTAACCCTAGTGCTGGGGAGCCTGAAAACAGGAGGATCACTATGAGTCTGAGTTGTGTAGTGAGATCCTGTACCAAATACATTAAAAAATTTGTAAATTATCAGAATAATAAAACATAATATTGTTATGTGAGGAAAGGAAGATGTTTCTATTTTTTGTTGTGCTTATCTGAACAAGAAAGTAATAAAATCAGAAACAACTTTGCAGATTTTTATACTCTCATGCTATAAGAATGAGAGGCTACAGTTCTGTAGACAAGACATACACTTTTATCAACACTGAAATCAGAATTTAAATGTGGGTACTACTATATACTTAATCTGCTTAATAATGACCCATGTATTGAATTAAACCATTTATGTATGCAAGGGAATGTATCATGATGTTATTGAGAATCAAAACCATAAGGTCTTCTATTATTTAATTAAACCTCATCTTTATGAACCTTTGTTACAAAGTAAGATGATTTATTTATTGAAATGAGATTTGAAATAGTAATAGATTACTTGAAAAGTTTTGAAATTATTTAAAAGTCACCCACTTGAAATTTTGTAGAGCTTCTGTAGTGTCTCTTCAGCTCAGTTGAGTCCACCTGAAATGTATTTATGCTTTGATTAATTTTAGCCAATTTCATTAATTATTTTTCATTCCTATCCTTATATTGTTAGTGATTTCTTTCTTCTCAACCCTTCTAATACCAGTCCATAAATATGCTCCCTCCCCTCAAATTTTAAAGCAAAATACCTTCCCCAAATTCCCTGTTGTTTGTCAGAGTTGAGGGTCTCAAGATAGTCATCTGCATTACTTTGCTCCCATTTCTCCCTCAGATTTGTGCTTAAACCATGGCAGTGTTTGGTACTTGTGCTTCTTTCCACTTCTCTCACATGAGACTAACTGTGCTAAGCCTCACAATAACCTCTAATTATCACCTTGAGGGAATCCTTTGTGGTACATAGTGTCTTGTAGAGCCCTCACCAAACTGTGAAAGGATCCATATATGTCTTCGCTCATTTGTTTAAAATCAGTCTATGTGATCAAAAGGTAATCTATTGAAGGCAGGATTGGCTTCATTTAATAACTGTACGTAGCAGGTCCTAGAATGTACTGAAGAATCCAGTACACATCGAGGGGCAGAGGGGTGAAAGAACAGGGAAAGAAGGATGAGTGAGTTTGTGAACAACTCACTTAGAGAACAACTTTGTCCTTGGAACTGTCAGTAATGCCACTCTTGGTGCACTTTACTTCTTAAATTCCAACTTTTTGGTATACTCTAGGACTGTGGAGCTAGCCATTTAAAAGTTGACACTCCTCATGGTTTGATTTTCTGTTCTTTCCTCTTTATATTTACTTTCTGAGAAATGATACCCACTTTTGTGACTGCAAAGCCCATTATATATGTCAAGCCTATGAATGTCTGCCTCTACTTATAATACTTTCTTGCTGTTTGTGCTTAACCTGGATTAATCGTCCTCCTCTGTTTAATTTAAGGCTAATGTGACCCCATCCCTGAGATTATATCCTAACAGCATCCTTATCGACACTGGTTAGTGATCTTACACTACTCTCAGCTCTCTCCAGCCACCAACCAACTCTACAGATCCGTCTTCCTCAACTTGTGTGTTCATTTTTTCCCACTGGCAATGCTGTACCTGTCTCAAGTCTTTCTCTACTCTATCCATTTGCAACCACAGGCAGAGGTTCTCTCTAAATCAGAACACTTAACAATCTGTAGTTCTGTCAAATGCTAGCGCTTTACATGATTTTAAGAAAAAAATAGCTTCCATGCTTTGCTTTCTGAGTTGCAGGCACCTTCTGCAGCCTTCCACACACTGTTTAGCAACTTCTCAACTGTGGCAGAAAGCTCACCCTACCACTGGCCATGCTGTTCCCAGAGCTCAGAGTATGATTCAGTATTTTGCAGGGGGAAGAGGGTGCAGAGAATTCCATCCCTCTGTCAAGACTTGGAATGAGTATCTTTGTATTCCTGTAGTTTGCTCTGAGCCTCAGAGCACCCTGGGTTTACCTTTGTCAAGATTTGCAACATACAATTCCACCATTTTCTTTTCATTTGTCTTTCCTTCATACCTGAGCTATGTATGATCAGGATTTCTCACTGTTTTTCTGTTTTCTCAATTCTTTATATCTAGTGTAGAGTTGGTATTCAATAAATGCATTATATGCCATTGATGAATGAGAAGTATTAATAATGACATTAATGTTCAGACTTAAAAGAGTTAATATTACATTTACTTTTATGTTTTGGTTATATGTAAGAAAATATGTCGCATATTTTTGTTTTTTGGCAGAACCGGGGCTTGAACTCAGGCCCTTGTGCTTGCCAGGCAAGCTCTTGCTCTACTGAGCCATCTCCCCAGCCCCTGTCACATATGGTTTTAGCTAGTCGATAAAAGTGCTAGAACACGGACATATAGAAACGGCATCGTGTAACCATTATCCATCCATGCTGATGGTGTTCAGAAATTTCCAGCTACTGCTGCATTATGTTAGACTGTTAGTCAACTTCTACTCCCTCTCCCCATTTTCTCTTTCAATAATTTGTATCCATCTTCCCACAGGAAATTTTACAAAAACCCGTTTGGAAACGTAAGATGTCGATCTTTAATGATTTGTACTGTGAAATGAAATGACTCGGGTAAACAAAACTAAGTTTAAAATGACATTTTATAAATCATGTTCTGAGGTTGAGCGAAGCTGATCAGCTCTTACAGTGCTTAGGTGGGGTACAGAAACACAGTTGGAGTATTAAGTGGTTAAGTTAAATACCGCATCCTTCCCACATCAGGGAAGACTGTTTTTAGCACTTATCCTTCTGTTTTCAGAGTTGCCTGCGATCTTATGATTGAATAAATGCAAATGCAACTAAAAACTTGTTAGATTAAGAGAAAGAATGATAGAGAACTAAGTGCCATCTAGTGATTTTAAAAATCCCTTTTCATTAGAGCACTAATAAATTTGGCATCATTAGCCTTAGGAGATCAGTGTGCTTACTGGTAACAATTAGGCACTTATTTTTAAAATGTCACCATACTTAGTTCTCTATCTGTCTTTTAAGCCTCCTCATTATTCAGACAACATTTCTTAAGGGAAGGCTTACTTCGGGAGAAAGTGTTAATGGCACTAAATCCTTTCTCAATAGTTTCTGAAGAAGTTCTATTCAGATGTTAGTATATTTACTTGTTACTTGCTTTTGCTGACAAGCAATTCAGTAATTCTACATGGAACAGATCAGAGAAGTATTTCAACAAGAATATCATCTAACACAACTGCAGTGCAGACTAAATATGTGAGGAGAGAAAATCCTTGAATCAGTGTTCTCATGCGTTTCTTCCTCCGAATATATCCTGGGTGTATGAGTTTGCAGATCAGACAGGGGAATCAGTCAAATACTGTCTGTGAAGAAACTTACTACCAAGTAAGAAAGAGAGCTACATATATAAAGAGGAGACAAGAAAAAAGTTTGTGGACATCCACTCATTTAATTCATTCCTGTGCATCTTCTACATGTGCACCCTGTTTTGTTTAATCTTCAAACAAGATTTATAAGGTAGCTATTATTCTCTCTTGATGTGTGAAAGAGGAAGGGTACAGTGAAAGAGTAAATTTAGTTTTTATCATATAATGCTGTTAATACTTTTAAGAAGTGAAATTTGACCCTAATCTGTTGGTTTCTGCTAGGTGATAATTAGCTTAGTATTTATTTAACAAAATTAATCAACAGAAATATGAGTAAAGCATCTGAAGTTCAGACAAAGGAATGGTGAGATGTTTTCAGGTGAGTTGATAAACAGCTCTGATGAGGACACAGTGCTGAAAGCAGTCGACCATAACAGAAGGCGAAGTGATTGACATTGCCACTCGCTGGTGTTGAAGTTTCCAGGGATCCTTGTCACGGGTGCGTGAGCTGCCAGGCACTGTGGAGATGTCTCATATCCAAATAGTTCATACTGCCCTTGCAGTTTGAATTCTACCTTGTATAAGGGAAATTACATACAAGAGAAATTTCTGTTGTTTTGAGGTTCAAAATTCTGTTATCTGTGTGGTACCACTTTCAGAAGAAAGATGCTATAAATACATGCGGTGGATGAACTTGTGAACCTCCCTGAGTCCATCTGTTGTGCCTAATGGCACCTCTTGTATTGCCATTTCCCATATAGCTTGTGAAACAGGTAAACACAGCTGGTAGGTATACGTACTTGACCACTGTAGCCGTTTAATGAATGTCTGTTGAATAAATAAATCAGTACTTTGATAGTGTGCACCAAATATAATATAGATAATGCAGTGGGCCTTTCAGATCGGAGACTCAGTGTGTACAGACTTCGGACCACAAATGTAATCAAGATTCACGGGCTGGAACTACCTAATTTAAATTAAAGAAACCACTGAATTTCTTTTGAACAAACAAACCAATTAGCTCCTGCTCTGTATTTGTAGCTTGTGATAATGCATTTTAAATAAAGCCCATTGAATGTGTTTTTATTGGTTATTTTTCTTGGTTTTAACACTCCATTGTGTGTAAAGACCTCTTAGAAAATTGAAAATAAAAGTCTCCCTTTACTGATTTTGTCATTTTCCATTTGTCAAACATTGATTTTCTTCCCCTTCGTACATCTAATGGAGGTTGAAATTAGTGCTTTTGTTGGTGTTGTTTACTTCTTGTTTGTGCTCCGCGTGGTCATTCATCAAGCTGCCAGCAAGCTCTGGGGACAGTGCCGGTGAGGTAACTAGTGCTACAGTCTGCACAAGGAAAACTGAGTAGATTTTTCCTATAGCTTTGGCTTTTGCCTTTAGGATTTCTTTTAAGGAAACATTTTGAATGTAGGGGATCCCACCCAGACAATTAAAAAAAAAGAGATTTAGGCTATTTCTTTCAGTTTTTTAAAAAATGTCAAATGTCCTAGAGTCAAAGGAAAATACCCAGAATGTAAAGGAACCTGCATCTGTCCTCTAAAAAATACATTAAGCCCACGTGGTAATACATTCAGTCAGTCTTACTGATGGCTTCCTGTCATTAATGATCTATTTATGCAGAACCAGTTAAATATTCTGTTAGAAAATGCTAACTTATTTTTTGTTGGCCATGTCTTTTTCTAAATCCCACTTACTATTATTTCTCCTCGTCTCAAGAACCTGAGTCTGGGCTGGAATAATAGTAGATCACAAAGATAGATGATATCACATACGATGTCTGTAAGAAGCCAGTAGTGTGTGTTGTCTGGTGTTTGATATGGAAAGACCACTCGCAATGGTATCATCCAGCAGTTCCAGTTGTAGGCAATGGTGACAAGCAAGAGCCACAGGAGATAGAGTTGATCTGGAAAAACAGCAACAAGAGACATCCAGATGGTATGGGACACACAAGAAAAAAAGTCTCTTGCTTAGTACAGTGAAGTTCAGACACTACCCTTTGGATACAGGCAGTTTGTACTAAGGGGCTCTCGTAAGCATTCAACACACTTCTGCCTCTGGAGTGGGAGGCCTTGTGCTATTAAGGATAGAAAGTGACATCATCAACTCTGCAGGAGTGCAGTTTCCTGTCTTGCTCCTGGCCACACTGCATCTGTCCCAGTGGGTAACTGCACCATTTTGATTCAAGCAAGTGAACACCCAAGAAAATTCTAGGGGACCTTGCTGAGGCCTCACTGCAGGAGCAGGTCTTAGGCGTTAAACTGCAGGCATGTCCAGGGCAGAGGGAGAAAAGCCACCTCCTCCCAGCTGATGGCTCAGCATTGAGTGGCGGGGGGAGGGGAGAACCAGCCCCTTGCAGAGCCCACATCCCTTCGCCCCTTCACATTTCGAATGCTGCCTTTCTCTACCAAGGGAGGCCCTGGGAGGGAATTTGTTTGATTAGAATAATTAGTATGCAAAGCCATGGAAGGAGATGGACTATTTACAATGATTCTTTGCTTGTCAGTATGCATATTGCTGAGAGCTTTGGGGTTTTCTTTATAAAGGTAATTAGAAACAAACCCTAGAGTGTCTTTTAAAATTAGGTAGGGACATTTTCTTGCTCATCTTCACCAAGAGTAGGAACAACCTTTGCAGATTATGCAGTTCAAATTATACTTTTTCGACAGATTCAGAACATCGGTTAGGGAAAATAGACTCCCTGCATCTTCAGGTCACAAGGGTTTCTTCGTGAAAGCCAGCCCTCCCAGCAAGGTGCCTTTTGCTGATACCTGATTGTGAATCTATGCTTCTTGGAAGTCTCATTCTCTTTAGGTGTTCTGTCAGAGGCAGCTTCTGGAATTGCCAGCACAGTATGCCATAGTAGTGCTCTGTTTTTAGATTAAAATTGCTTTCTTGTGTTGATGGTGTAGCTATGGGCTTTGCTTTCAAGGGGGAGAAAAAGAGAGAACATCTTTAATGGGTTAACATTAGTTAGCTTAATGATCACAAAGCTTAGATTTGATGGACGCACATGTTTGAAAACTTTTCCCTTCTTAATGCAGGAAGATGAGGCAAAACTCTTACTTACAATAGTGATACTTATTTCACAATATGTATATCAAAATATTATATTGTATACCTTAAATATATATGATGACATATATTAAAATATCCAAGTAGCAAAAACACCGGAATTTGAGAAATACACAAGTTTTAAACTCATTAATAAGGTATCACAAAACAAATACTAGGTTTAAATTTTATATTAAAATACATTTTCACATATATTCATCAAGTGCTGGGTAAATAAAACTCAACATATTTTTTCCAACATAGCTTTCTTAACCTATAACTTATTAAGGCACATCTCTTTAAAAATAAACTATTTTGTAATACCTAACTCATTTGAAAAACATAACTTTCTTTATATGGAACTATAAGGAAACCCTCAACTTGATTTGGATTTATCTGTTATTAAAAATTTAAAGTTTTTCTCTTATTTAATTCACATATACTTTACATAGGTATGATCAGAGCCCATATAACTTTTGTGTTCTACTTATTGTTGTTGATGTTTTTCATAAATACCTATCTGTAATTATGAGAAAGGTAGATCATGGTTCTTCCCCTTATGTTATTGCCTACTGATGTCCTTTTTTTTTTTTTTTCTGTTGGATACTCTGTTAGCATTCTTATATTTTCATGGTCTATACCATGTATTTATAGGTATTTTAAATTATTGTCTACAACAGTAAAACTTATTATAGAAGATTCTGTGGGTGGCCATACATATAACTTGGGTGTGACGGTTACTTGGAAATGACTTCTTGTGTTTTTCTGAGTTTTTTTGGAGCAAGTTGTGTACAATAAGAGGCATATAACAGCATACCTCAGTAGCAGCCAACTACATCCTCTTTATTAGGATAATTCTTAGGTTTGGTCCACATAACTTTTCCATTATATAAAGTCCCATGTACCCCCAAACTTGCCTTCTTATTAATTCATCCTTGTCTCCCCTATCTGCTGCTCTTATCAATTTCACCTTCTTTGGTCACTCACACAATAACTGTTTATACCTGATCATTGTTTGAAGATCTGTTGTGGGGGAACTCAAATTGAATTATTTGCAAAATAAATGCATGTCTCTTCATAGTTCCCCTTTTCCCTCAGTGTTTCAATGCTTACCAGTGTGTGGGCTGGCTTCGGGTGAGGACAATTCTCCTTGTGTCAACTTTTCCTTGTAGAGGGCTGTTCTCTGACACATTCTTTTCACCATGTTGTGGAGCTGGGCATCAGCATACTCACTTATAACAGGGACTCCAAGTGGGCTAGAGGAAGGAAAAGAAGAGTGGAGATACAGATGGGCCTATAAGGAGATTCCAACAGGGGAGAGATAGTATTTTTCACCTTCCATAATCAAGAGTATTAACTTCCTGTTCTTGCAATTGCAGAGAACAATTCAAACACAGAATTTAATGGAAATATCATGACAGAACATAGATTTGTCACTGAAAAATGATTATTCTTGAAAAATATTGAATCATGACTGCTGTAGTTGTGCCATTAAATTATACTACTAGAAGTTCCTAGTGTTGTATCCCTGAGATTTCCTGTTATCAATTAGCTCTTGACCTCTTAGGGGCCATGTGATGTTTTTCCCAGGCTGAGATCATTTCTTAGCTATTTGGCAGCAAGAAAATAAGGGTTGCAGTCTGTGTACCCCAGGAACTGGTTTTTCCAATAATCTGAATTCGTTTGCAAAGTAAATCCCTCTCCAGAATGCACAGATAAAAGCCTGGGCTGTCTGGCACCTTGATAGCAGCCTCATGAGACTTGAAGCAGAGAGCCCAGCCCAGCCCACCTCAGTGTCTGAGGGAAGCCACTGCAATGTCATCCGTATGAGCCTATTTTAAACCATGGAGTTTGTGGTTTATACAGCAATAGAAAAATAACGCAGGTTTGTTTTAATGAATTAACATTGCGAGAAAGCATACAAACAGACTAGTTAAGGGTATCGTGTCCAAATCTGCTTTATTTCATAAGAACCTGAATTTTCTTCCCCCAGAGCTCTCACCACCTTTCTTCCTTCCAACGTCTGAGCCTGGGTCTAACTGGGCCTATGTAGGTGATTTCTGTTTTCCTTTCTTCACAATCATGAGTCAATTCTCTCTCCACCCCACTGCCTCACTTCCATGGGATTCACATGGGACTGGATGACCTGTAGATTTCAGTTAAGAGCACTTGACTGTAGTGTAAGCCCCTATTCGTGAACCTGTTCCCTTCCCAGACCTTGAACGTGTCACTTCTCTAACTGTTAATAGATCACAAACTGTTGATGATTTTTACTCTTCTTATGATCATGACTTACACTTCTTTAGAAGGTCAAATGTCCAGTTTCAGCATTTTATTTAGTCACATTTATAAGCTTGTTTAAGAATAGTGAAGACTGAGCTATAATGAAAGAAAGGTCCATCGAAGGCAGTACAGAAATAGGTAGACACTAAGTCCATGAAAATAGATTTTCTTTCTGATGAGTTATCATAGATAAAGTGGTTGATTGTGTGTGGAGTTATATGTGCTTTAGTACTCAGAGCTATCTCCCTGGCCCCTGAATGTTGATTTTGCCCAGCTACTGAGTTTGGTTATTAAATTTGGAAGTCTTTTGGTAGAATTTTCAGCTTCTTCACTGTAGAGTATCATGTCACCTGCGAATGATGATAATTTCACTTCTTCCTTTCCCATATTTATTCCTTTTATTTCTTTCTCTTGTCTAATTGCTATAACTAATGTTTCTAGAACTATGCTGAATAGGATTGGTGACAGCGGATAGCCTTATAGTTTTGATTTTAGAAGGAAAACTTTCAGTTTTAGTTCATTTAGTATGATTTTGGCTGTTAACTTGTCATAGTTAGCTTTATCAGACTGAGATAAAGGGCATCTTTTCCAATATCCTGACGGGTTTGAATCAGGGATGTGTGTTGAATTTTGTCAAATGCTTTTCTGTTTGTATTGTGTTGATCGTGTGATTTTTGTCCTTGGCTGTACTGATCTAGTGTTTTATTTATTGTTTTGTGTATGTTGGACTATCTCTCTCTACCTTGGATGAATCCTACTTGGTCATGTACATATTCTTCTTGATGATTTGCTGTATTTTTTGCAGCATCATATTGAGGATTTTTGCATCTATGTTTATTAGGGAGGTTGAGAAGAAAGTTAGCCTCTTTCATAAATGGGGCTGGAAAATCTGGATTTCCATATGCTAAAGACTAAAACTAGACATTTCTAGGTAAATGGATGCACCATGAGATCATACTCGTAAGTGAAGTAAGTCAGATACATGTGTGGAACAATCATATTATTTCTTTAGTGTGAGAAACCAAAAGTGTAAAGACCAAAATTTAGAATAGATGTTGTAAAATAGGAAGAAAATGTTCAAATGGGAAAGAGAACTATGGAGGGGTGAGGGGCAGAGGAAGGAAAGGAAAAGAAAAATAAATGAGAAAAGGAGAAAAAATGGAAACAAAGCTTTTGTAAATAAGGAAGGGAACAGGGTACCGGAATGGGAAAACTGTAGAATAAAAATATATTACATACTGGTACAAATTCCCTATAATGAATGGGATCATTTTATATATTTAAAATGTACCAATAAACTTAATTAAAATGAACTTATCACAAATTTCATCTCATTGTTTTTCACACATCTTAATATTTTAAATTTATTTCTTAATGGATACATAGAAAAAAAATTGTGTCTATTTATGGAGCATCATAGGATGTTTAAATGTATACATTGATTATTAAAGATTTAGTATGCTTAGAAGTAATTTCATTCATCGAGCAATTATTTAGCATATACTTTGTACACAGCAAAGATAGATTATTTAGAGACTGGTTCCATAGATTTTCACAGATTAATGAAGGTGTAACATTAAATAATAAAGATACACACAGGTATACTCTGATCACATTGAGCTTAGCATGGGGGAGTCTATGAAGTCTTAAGGGAATGACAGAACTGTGATGGAGAAGCAATAGACCAACCTTCCAAGCCTTGATATCTGTGTGTCTGGTGATACAAAAGAAAATAACATAGTCAACAAAAATTTTGGCATGATTGAAACAGTGTGTATGTGTGTGTGTGTGTGTGTGTGCATGTAGGAGGCTAGGGGCAAGAAGATGGGTCGGATCTGAAAAGGCTAAATGAGTAAACAAAGTTACAATCGTCCCTCATGACTTGTGAAGTTGAACGTTGAGCTCCAAAGAGGAGCCAGTACAGACAAGGCAGCAAATGAGGAGTTTGGGTGGACAGGTTTGTACTTTAGAGAAGTGACAACAATGGGAGAAGGGGCTGAGACATCTAGTATTAAAACATGGAGGTGAAGAAGAGTTACTCCAACAGGTTAGATTAGAGGTGATTAGGAAAAAAGGGCAATTGTAGAAGTATGTTAGAGGCAGAATCATAGGATGCAGTGAATTCTATGGATGGCTGGGTAACCCAAAGAATAAAGAATAACCTGAAAGTTTTCATTACTAAAGATTAGATTCATGAAGGAAACAGGAATATAAATAGGAAGCCAGAAAGCAGATCTTTATGTGTAGTGGACCCATAGAAAAAAAAAAAGAATTCTTTTTTGGGGTGTACGTTCAATTCAAGGTCTTGTAGGACTCTGTGTGTTAGGTGTTTATCTCACTGAGGAGGCATTTTAAAACAGTTCTGGGGACAAGAACCTAGTGGTCATCAGTCATAAGAAATATTTGGATCAGGTGGATGACATTGTCAAAGACTATGAAATTTTGAAGCTCAGGATTACAGCTTTTCTTTATCTTCTGTAAGACATAATAGATTTTTAATAATTGCTTATCGAATAAACCTGCTAGCTCTAACCTTTTGTTTGACCTTACTTGATGTGCCTCAGTGCTTTAAAAAATCTATAAAAGACAAAGTTGAATGTTGGTTGGTGAATCATTAACTATAAAGTCAGGTATTCAAACTGTCAAGTCGTAAGACCTAAGGGGAACAATTTTGCTTTTCCTGAATTATACGTAACCATATAATTGCCACTTATACATACAATTTGTATTAACCTATTTTATGGTTAGAATAATAAAAGTAATGTCAGAAAGCACCTAGCATTTCAAATACATATCTATATTTAGACTATTAAACATTTTTATTTTTCTATTAGCTGAAAGACTAATTTATCAGCACTTTTCATCATCTTTTTTGGCATCTTCTCTAGTGTGATCTTTTTCTGTCTTCTCTTCTGCCAATATACATATAGAAATCATGAATGAATTTTTCTTTAGGCAATTTGGTAACTGAACACAAAAAGACAAATAGAGACGATGAAATATA